AAATCCCACTTTATTCTACTTAGTATGGGGGGAGTATTGACTGGGTCCTGACATTAAAGAGAGAGGAGCCTTATGCGAGGCCTGCCCAGGCAAGCCAATCAATGCCCGCTATGGATTGTCCTGTCCGGGTGCTTCATAAGTATTTGGCCGCTTTAAATGGCAACTCCATTTAACAGGCAATCACTGCTAACTGCCTTTGTTCTCCGAGCTCAATACTTGGGGACAATCTATTCCAGTCTGACTGTTAATGCGCCATCAGGAGTCCCCCGATGCTGAGAATGCAAATAATTAAAGATAAAACCTTTTGACTCGATTCCTGTTGTTGAGCTGAAAACTTGGCTAAGCTGCTCCACTTCACCCCCCCCCCCCCCCCGGTCCCTCAAAACAAGATGGCGGTTATCCTGCAAGTCCTTTTCTTGACTTTCCCCCACAGCCCAGCCGGTTGAGACATGATAAAACGCCAATCGGGGTGAAATGCCTGTTAATTTAGCCGCTGCCACGGTTTAGATTGCGCTATTTGTATTCATAATGCATGGTTTTATTGATGCAGCGATTTGTTGGAGGGCAAAACTCTGCAGTGCAACTTGAGTGAAAATATGTTCATTAATCTACTGAGCAGGACTCGGTAAAAAGCATTTCATATTCATAATCTCTCACAGGGTTATTTTGTCCGTCCTTGCTCTGTGGCGGCGTGCTGCCGCAGAGTGAGAAATGTCGGGTCATATCTCCCGGGTGCGTTGCGCCGGATGTTTGTGTGTGTATATATCTGAGCTGAGTGCCTTCCCTGCATGTATGTATTGTTTTATCAGTCTTTTCCTTCATCTCCCGTGAGGAGAATTAGGAGTGTCGCGTCCCGCTCCCTAATTTATTGAAGAGGAAATCCCAGTGACAAGTTTGTTTAAGGCGCCTTCTGTGATGTGAGGGGGGAAATATAAAACACTGACATTGCGTCGCATCGGTCCTTGAAAATTTCTAATCAGCAAAATGCACAGTGGTAAAAATGTTTGATTTAGGCTGATAGAGGTAAATGGTTAGACAGGCCCAGCAAGAGTTGAAAGCTTTTTTAAAACAACATTTCTGGCTGTCACCGTCTTGGCCTCAAATCCAATTATTAAATCGAGCTTAAGTACTTCCTATTGGGTTTTCATAACCCAGAGTGTTTATTTCATGTCGTTTAGCAGAAGCCTCTATGGATACAATCAACTGAAATGAATATATGACTAATCTTGATTGACTAAATTAACATCTTGGGATGGGCTTTAGCTGAGCCATAAGTTAGATGAAAACCTCGATGCAGCCTCATATCTGTCTACATCGAGCTGGAGGCAGCAGTTTGGCTGCTTGGATTAGCATATAGACTAAAAACAGGGAGAGAGAGTCCTGCCAACGCCATAAAAATGCTCAAGGTGTAAAAGCAGCAACAGGGAAGGTTGGTCTTTGAGGTACCGTCGTGCTTAATAGATTTTAGTCATCATCTTGCCTCCAGTAGTGATGTTGGGGGGGGGTTATGATTTTAATAGACACATTAAGCAAACAACTATGTACATTAGGGAAAGTTTAAGTAATTTCACAATTCCTCATGATAACCGTAAAACTTGAAAACTAGTTTAAAATTTTAAATTTCATTTAAATTCAGTTTACTCCCCCAGACTGCCACTCTGGGTCCCTGAGCAAGACCCTTAACCCCACAGTGCTCCCGGGGCGCCGCACAATGGCAGCCCACTGCTCCCCAAGGGGAGGGGTTAAATGCAGAGATAAATTTCTCCAATGTGAGATCAATAATGTTCAATCTTTTCAGTTTATTTCTAAGTTTATTTATATAGCGCCATTCTGAACACGTGATCTCAAGGCACTTTACAGAGACAATTTAACCAGATCATACAGTCAGATCGGTTTAAAGTTAAAAGGAAAACCATTTACCGTAATTTTCAGACTATAAGTCGCAGAAGCTAAATTGCATGATTTGTACATATACAAGCCGCACCGGACTATAAGCCGCAGGTTTTTTATGTTTAATTAGCATATGTTTCGTTTACAGAGAGGATTGTCGGGAAAGAGGCAACTGTTTGGGGAAGCTCCTATTTATTAACATTTCAACACAATTAAATTGAGACAATTCTTCCTGCTGGCGTCTCCAACGTCTCCCCGTTGACTCGTTGATTCCAAGGTTGCGTGCGGCGGTTCTATTTCCTTCGTTTACTACCAAATTGACTGCCTTTACCTTAAAAGCTGCATCATATGCATTTCAACGTTTGTTTTCCATAATGAGGGTGTCACACAAACTGTCTCGCAATGTCCGTCTTTCTCAGAGTCTGCTTCTGGAGGTACCGTATCACCCTAGTGGCCGTTAGCTGTAAAAGTCCATAGATAAGCCGCAAGGTCGAAAAATGGGGAAAAAGTTGCGGCTTATAGTCCGAAAATTACGGTAAATGCATAATTGACTCGTCAGGAATCCCTCAAAGCTAGCATGCCTTTAGCGACAGTGGAGAGGAAAGCTCCCTTTGAACAGGAAGAATTAAATCCTAATTAACACCTGATCACAAAACAGTAAATTTCACTAGTTTTTCATCATGAAACTAAACTTCATTCTCACCTCTTCTAAGGAAAATCAAAGGCAGTATTTTTCCAGATTCTGAGAATAGAATATAACTCTTATTGGTATCAGGGGGAACAATACTGACCATCTTAAACAACCCAACTCACTTTTGCAAATAAACAAGTCAAAATAGATTGTTAGGAAAATTATATTACTACTGGGCAATAAAACAATAGCGATATATACCGCGATACGCCTGACCAGTATCAATAGTGAATACATCTGTTAAAATGTTCTATGAAGTTATTGAATTCTGATCTAGAACCGCACGGCATTCTGGGGGATGTAGGCAGATGTATTTAGCCTATCAACCTCTCACAACCAAATTAAAACGGGTGTAAAAAAATCGATTCTGTTTAATATTGCAATATTTTACTAGACAATAGTAGTATTAGTTTAAAATGGATCTTAAATGTAAATATATTAGGCAAACATCCATCAATTGTCTTACTTTTATGAGGATTCCAGAGCTATATTATTTTACAAATCACAACATATCATCTTTTTTATTGTGTCAGGATAATCTGAATAATTTGTATTAGGGCTGAACGATTTTGGAAAATAATCTAATTGCAATTTTTTTTCTTTATATTGCGATTTAGTGCAATTTTTTTTCTTTATATTGCGATTTAATGCAATTTTTTCCCCCAGTTTAATTGATCATGTCTTTTTTTAAACATATACAAACAACAAATCAATCCGTTTCATCGCTGTGCAGATTAGGTGCTAAAAGACACGCTGTGTCCTAATTAATGATCGCGTTCTGCCTACGATATATTTCAACCAAAATTGCAATTTAATTTTGACTTTTCTCTACATAACCACAAGCAACAAAAATTGCCTCTAAATAAAGACAATTGTAAACAAGGACTGTTTAAATCAAGAGCTTTTAATGTTTTTATTAATCAGAATATTATTCAAGAGAACAGCTTTTAACTGATTTGGACATCAGTCCTTGTTGAACATGAAGTCCAAAGTGCAACCATGTATGTATTAAACTGATTAACTGGTACTTAGTGCTATGTATGAATATATAAACTCTAAAACAAGTAATAAAATTAGATTATCTCACTGCTGCAACTGTCTTCCCTTCCATGTGGAGGCAAATCCACTTTAAACATTTTACCAACACCTAAAGAACGCGTCTGATTCACTAATTGTTACATAGCCAAAAATTTGGAAATTGCATTTTTTCTCAATCGCGATTATATTGAAAATGCGATTAATTGTTCAGCCCTAATTTGTATCATCATGATATCTAACATATTGCTAAAGTTTTGTCAGTTCACATGCCAAAACTCTAAGAAATGTTTCTAGGATGGCTGACCTCAATTTAAAGATTAAAGGTTACGTTTAATTAGGGTTAGGGTTGCAATTTTAAATCAGCTTTTTTTCCCAATGGGCTTAAATTTAAATAAATAAAACAAACAAAAAAAGATGAATGATATTAAAGACATATATTGTAATAGATTTTTTTAGCCGTGTTGCACAACCCTAGATTATAAACAGGACATGTGTTGAAAGCTCCATCTGGTTCGCATGCAGAGAATAACAAGATTTATAGGAGTTTCTGCTGAGGGGAAAATAAAAGGTTCCCAATATATCATTGATTAAATCCACAAAGCTTCCCCACTAGTTCTGATTCCTGTTTTAATAACGTGCTAATACATTTCATCCAGACTGGTGTTTTACCTGATTTCAATCTTTATGCGAAACCAATTTGGTATCATCCCTTTCTAATAAGGTGTCTTGAGATTAAATATAATTTCCATATTTGTCCTCTATTAAAATGAGCCAGACTATGGTAGATAGTGTGAGTATGAGGAAGATATTACTGTCCTCTCTAATTGCCTTCTTTATTTGCTTCAAAGTCACTGTTGAGTTTGGAGAGCTCTTCCCTCGCTGGCTGCAGTCTTGCTTGGCTATAGGGCCTCTGATTCTGGAAGGGTTTTTTTCTTTTTTTGCATAAGCTTAAGTAAAGGTTTATTAGTTCATAGACTGCATATACACACAGGCTCAGACACACACACGCTCTCTCACACCGTCAAACATAATCTCATTCTCTCATGAGAAAGCATTACTCTCAGGCCATCAGAATCCCATTACCCACGCTGAATCATAAATAGAGGGAGAAAGAGAGTGATGATCGGGTGGGGTTCCATCCAGTAAGAGAATAAGTGATCTATCCTCCTCAGTCCACAGACATTAGCAGCCATTCCTTAGCTGTAGAGCCTCAGAGAAAGCTGGAAGTAAAAACCTTACCTGCTGATTTAAACAGGCTGTATGTCCATGACTGTCCATCCGTTCATCTTTAACTAAAAACAAGCATCCCTCTGTTCTCTTCTCACCCTACCTCCTCAACCCCCCCCACCCCGACCCACTTTCTCCTGTTGCCTTCACCCAGACGGCTGTCCCAACTTATGTAACGGCAACGGCCAGTGCACCATGGGTCAGCAGAGCTGGCACTGTGAGTGTCAGACAGGCTGGAGGGGCCCCGGATGCAGTGTTGCCATGGAGACGTCCTGTGCTGACAACAAGGACAACGAAGGAGGTGAAAAAAATTTGCGGTATAGCGGTTTTTAAGTGCAGCCTTGGTTTTGTCTTCCCCCTAGAAAACAGATGACAGTGAGAGAAAGTAAGGTGATGAAGAAAAGTAAATAAAGATTAAGATACAGATCTCAGGAGATGTATCATCTCTAGGGATAGTGAAAGTAAAGTTCTACTGGTGAGCTCTGCACAGAATATTTGAATATTTGATAAAGACATAATGAAGACTGGGTGCTTTTTGCTTTCCTCAAACAGCTCTATCCGCCCTCTTTCAGATGGACTCACAGACTGCATGGATCCAGACTGCTGCATTCAAAGCCCCTGTCAGAACAGCCCGCTGTGCCGCGGCTCCCGAGACCCCCTGCAGGTCATTCAGCAGAACCTCGTGTCCCAGCCTCGAGTCCGATCTTTCTACGACCGCGTCAAGATGCTGGTGGGACGGGACAGCACCCACATCATCCCTGGGGAGAACCCATTCAACTCCAGGTATGGCAGGAAACTTATCCAAAAAAAACCAACATATTTTTGAAGCCACCATAACAAGTAGAAGTGTTGCCTCCTATGATATTTAATCATGTTTTACTATAAAAGTAAGAAAAGGCTTTGGATCAAAGAAAATTAATTAGATAAAACCCAAGACATGTTTTCAAAAAGATATCATTTAATTTGAAAGGTCAGTTTAATTCATTTCAAGGACTTAATTATGTGCCTCTTTATACAGAAGAGGCTCTTGCCAAACTATTAATATAATTTGACCTAATTTATATTTTATCAACTTACATGTAAAGATACATTTTGTTCCATTGTTGTTTCGAGCGTAAAACATTTTTAACAATTTTTGTTAATTCAAATTTGAAATAAAAATACAGAAATGTTAAAACGTTTAAATCAAAAAAGGTTTTGAATTTATTTAATTCTTTTTTTTTTCAAATGTCTTTTTCATATTTAAGTTTTTTTAAATTGTATTTTTTTGCCAGAACCCTTTGAAAAGGTCTATATTTTCAATTTTTTTTTTTTTTTTTTTTTTTTTTTTTTAAATCCTGTTGTTTGTTTTTGGTTAAATTGAGTTTTCCAAATTGCCTTTTTTATGCCGTTTAAAAGATCACAATCGCTTCATTTGAAGCACAAAACAAACGCATTCTGTTGACACATTGACCTATAAGGATGTTGCTGCTGACGTCCATGGAGACCAATAGAAATGCATCTTCACTCCTCACTGCAGAGTAAACCGTACTCTCCAGTCTCATCCGTTAAACGCAACTTGAAATAAGTCAATTTATGAAACTCCATTTAAAATCTGTAAAAAAAAAAAAATTATTTTTGAAAAATTACAATTGGAAATTTAATTATTATTATTATTATTTTGTTTGTTTGTTTTGAGAAAACAGCCAAGTTACTCTCAGAACCTTTTTTATTTTATTTCTAAGTTTCATTTCTGGATTGCATCTTTTTTAAATTTCAACTTACAATATGCAATTTTTTGACATCCATTTACAAAGTACATTATTTGCTTGCAACAATAATGAAAGAAAATTCACTCCATACTCACATCCATTAACTGTAATTTCTTTTTCTACAGAACATTTGTATTATTGTGAAATCTGAAGGGGATTTTTCTTTGTTCTGTTTTTGTTTTTTTACAAATGCAAATCTAAAAGAAAGTATTTTATGCATTAGGATTTAGCCTCCACCACTACTTTCTCCTTAGATAAAATCCAGTGCAACAAATTGCTTTAGGCAGTCAACTAAAGCAGAGTGTTGCTAGTTCTCCTCTTTTCAGTCATGCATTCCTTTGAGTTTCTTTATCACTTCGAATCCAAATAAAACATAAAGAAGTTTTATTTAACAGATGACAAAATGCAAAAAGTTTCAATGTCAGTAGATTTTTGTACAATGCACTGCAGATCCCCACAGCTAGAGTGAATACCGTGCTTTTTCAGACTTTTTTTTTTATATTATCAGTGTTAATTATTTGGATGAAAAGACTTTTCATCAGTGAGATCAAGGCTACAACTGTGGCACTCTTAAAAGGCCAGACATGAATGAGAACAGCTCTGCCTCATGGAAACGACGCTTTACACTTAGTTACTTAAATATCAAACAGGCTTTAAAAGAAGATCTTGCTGATGTGTGGAATGTAGCGCTGTCCGTGGTCCTGAAGTTTATTCACAGTTACTCTATTAGCTGCAGCAGAGGAACAGGTTTAGAGGTTATTCTGTGTGCGTCCCTCCCACATACATATAAATTTAATGTGTCATAGTTTATTTATGTGATTGACATGAATAAATTGGGGTGGGGATGAGGGGGGGCTGTCTCTAATTAATGAGCGGAGGAGGACCAAAGCAACTACTGATTGACCAAATTGGATGATTGAAGGATGGCCAGATTAAATCAGATGATGGGTTGGCCGGGGATGGTTGGTTCCCTCACTCTGTCCCTTCTTCCCTCTTGCAGCTTGGCGTCACTCGTCCGGGGTCAGGTGCTGACCACAGATGGAACCCCCCTGGTTGGGGTCAACGTGTCTTTTGTCAACTATCCACACTACGGGTACACGCTGACGCGGCAGGATGGAATGTATGTAAAACAGCGGCTCCTTGTTCAATCTGGAAACTACCTCACAGTCAGTGTGATTGGATTAGTTTAGATTAGATTAGATTAGTTTAAATTAGATTAGATTAGATTGGGATTAGATTAGATTAGCAATTTTAGAAGGAATCTTGGTAATGAGATCTACCAGTTGGTGTTGGGAAAACATCAAATTATAATGATGCTAATGTTGCTGCTGCAGAAATATCTGATATTTCCATGTAATTAAAAAAAATTTGTGATATGAAAAAATATTTTTTGATCTTTCTTCCTTCTGCAGGAATGTTATTTTCCTAATCAAACCTTGTGTCTTTTTTTGTAACTCTGTGTCTGTGTCCCGTTCTCCTTTCCTTCTAGAAGCATCTGAAGTTCTGCTAACATTATGCCACAGCTTGTGTTTCAGCAGCAGCAGCGGTCAGCTTGAATAGCTGCGCTCTAACCTCTCTGTCCGGCGTTGTTTTGTCTCGGTGCTATTTCTTATTTCAGCCGTTCCTGAGATTTAAGACTTTTAAATATTTCCCAAAAGCCATGACCCTTTTCTCTCTAGTTTCTGTTACATTGCAGATGTTTACCATAGCTTGAAAAAAACCTTCATTTAAAAGACAATTTTCTGACTTCAGATGAGATATCTGGGTCTCTACTTTGTTCTTGCTAATCTGTTCCATTTAAAGCAAAACTAAATATTTTTTTCAGGACTTTTGTTGATTTTATCAAACTGTACTAAAAGAAGGAGAAAGACTGTGTCTGTTAACGTTCAAATGCCTGTTCATCCACCACAGCGCTCCCCATGTGTGCCTCATTCCCACCCTGTTTTCACGAACCTCTCCAGGTTTGACCTGATAGCTAACGGCGGTGCATCTCTGACCCTGCGGTTCGAGCGCGCCCCCTTCCTGAGCCAGGAGCGCACCGTGTGGCTGCCCTGGAGCCAGTTTTATGCAATGGACACGGTGGTGCTTAAGACTGAGGAGAACACGATTCCAGGCTGCGATCTGAGCGGCTTCGTCCGGCCTGACCCTGTTGTGATTGCATCCCCTCTCTCCTCCTTCTTCAGCTCCAAGCCAGGGGAGAAACCCATCATACCGGAGACACAGGTGCAGTACCACTGACCTCTGGCTGCCGGCTAATCTCCCTCCTGGTCCCCTCGCTCTCCTCCTGCTGTCCTCTATGCCTGTCTATTGTAGCTTCTACCTCCTTCCATACGCCCCACCCCCTCCTTCCTCACCATTCTCCCTTTCTTTCCAGTTTCTTTATTTCATCCCTTGTTTTGTCCTTCAGCCATCACTGGAAGCGCGACCCCCATTACTCTCCCTCTGTCTAATCCTCTTAATCCCTCTTTCCTGTGGTCTCCCTTTTGTTTTGCAGGTGCTGCATGAGCAGATCGAGGTGCCAGGCACCAACCTGAAGCTTTGCTACCTAAGCTCCCGCACCCAGGGCTACCGCTCTCTTCTCAAGGTGACCATGACCCCAGCGGTAGTGCCGATGGGCCTGCTGAAGGTCCACCTGATGGTAGCTGTGGAGGGCCACCTCTTCCAGAAGTGGTTCCATGCCTCCCCGAACTTGGCCTACACCTACATCTGGGACAAGACGGATGCGTATGGACAGAGGGTGTACGGTCTGGCCGAGGCTGTCGGTGAGTGGGAGGGGCGGCACAGACCTTTTTCACTCTCTGCACTTGCAGAATATATTAAACGATTTAACACGAAGGGGGTCACCAGCAGTGACAGAAGCAGGGAAGCTAATTAGGAAGCCTGAAGGAGAGATAATATAGCAGAAAGCCATCCTAAAGTACAGCAGTAAGGCCACAGCAAATGGCTCTTTCTCTCCATACGTCTATTTTTCATTGAAGCTGCTTTGAGTTCGGTCAGCCAGCCGTAACTCTGGTGAAGGGTTATTAGCCATCAGGGCGCGTTAGCCGTTAACTACTGGAGCAGCAAGCAGGAGTCCAGGGGAGCCTCGCTGCTATTACTTTCTGCTGTCACAGTCACTCAGAGAGGCTGTCAGCCAGATACTACTGTCAAGACACAGGAGCCGTGAACATCCAGGACTTGGCTGTGGACTGCAGTGGCATGGGGGGCATAGCGTTTGGGAAAATTGGATTCAGTCAAATATCCCAAAGTGCCACCCCACCCCAACACCCACCCTCTGACTAATTGCTTCTCTACATATGCAATAGGGTCAGGTTTTCTATCGTTTTAACTAAACTGCTCTGAAAAAGCTGCTTGTAGAAGTATTTAGAGCCCATAAACATTTTACACTGTTTTCTTACAACTACAAACTTCAATATATGTCCTGCTTAATGCAGATCGTCAACATATATTGGTGGCTTATTGTAGAAGGAGAACAATTAGCCTTTTTTATTTTACAATAAAAATATAAAAAGCCTGGATCTCATTTGTCTTTAGTCATAATCTTATACACCACTGACACTAGATGCCTTCATAAGTCACTTTATAAGTAATTAGAGTTTGCCAAAGTAATGGGAGAGATTATAGGGAATTTAAAATATTAGAGATCTCTAAAACCAAATCCAATTCAATTTTAATTTAGTTTATTTATTCAGCTCCAATTCACAACATATTTCATCTGAAGGGTCTTTACTGAGACAGTTTAATCAGAGCCTAGATTCAGATTGGACAGGAGGCTGGCTTGAAATTTACCATCATGGTAAAACAGGCTATTGGTGGAAAAGATGCACTGATACTGGTAATGGTCCTGCTATTGAAGAAGATTCAAAGTTTCTGAGACTGACTAAACGCTCCATAGACGGGGGTTTAGGGTGTTCAATCATTTGTAAATTAAATAGAAGTTAGTTTTAAAAAATCTCTCGAATAGCAGGAAATGTATCTCTTTATAGGCATTGGTCTTTTTAATTTAATAAATTCAGACAGTTTAAACCCCTATAGTCACAGAGATGTTTGCAGAATACAACTGGTCCTGAGGATGGATGGATGGATGGATGGATGGATGGATGGATGGATGGATGGATGGATG